ACGCCTGGATGAGAAAGTTTGTGCGACGTATTGAAGACATTGCGTCGATAATGTTTCGGCACGACTGAGCGATCCCTACCTGTAGATGGGTCACAAAGTAAGGTTTCCTTACCTGTTCCCATCTGTCTGATGGTTGTAGACGATAACTAGTGCTGAAGATCAGTGTCTTCCTTTTGAAGCTCTGCGAGTTTAAGAAGGTCGATTCCTTGGAAACTGTTCAAGGAAGTTATGCGAGATAAGGCGTCTGAAACTACATTGTTTGCTCCAGAAATGTGTTAGATGTCTGAAGTAAACTGCGGAAGTAGTCTAGTTGTCGAGACTCGTGAGGTGAGTACTTGTCAGAGGACGAGCTTCAGGAGAAGGTGAGCGGTTTATGGTCAGTGAATAGGGTGAATTCACGGCTTTCGATATAGTGTTGAAAATGCTGTACAGCACAATACATAGCTAGGAGTTCCCTACCGAATGTGCTGTACCTCGATTCGATGTCTAGCAACCGTCTAGAGGAAAATGCCAAAGGTTGCCAGGAGTTGTTGACCCATTGTTGTAAGATTCCTTTGATTGCTGAGTCGGTGCGTCTACTGCGATACTAATGGGTGCTCGGGTGTCCTGATGTGCAAGCATTGTTGCTTTAGCAATCAGTTCCTTAACTGTGGAGAATGCTTTTCGTGCGGTGTCGTCCAAATTAATGGATTTCGCATTTCCCCGAAGTTGGTCGGTTAGAGGTTTCATGAGTAAAGCGCATTTAGGTATGACACGTCTATGAAAACTTACAAGGCCGTTAAACGTTCAAGGTTGCTTGATCGTGGTCGGTTCTGGGTAATCCAGAATTGCCTCCACTTTGGTCCTAAGAAGCCGAATGACTTGAGCATCTATAGTGTGTCCTAGGAAGTTTAGCGAGTCGGTTCCGAATTGGCATTTATGAACGTTTACAGTTATGCCATGTTTTTGAAGTCGTTCGAAAACAAGATCCAGATGCTTGAGATGTGATTCTCTATCCGGACTTGCGATAGTGCAGTCGTCAACATACGTATGTACGAAGTTGAGGCCTCGAAAAACGTCGTCTATGAATCTTTGGAATGTTCGAGCAGCGTTTCTTAGACCGAAAGGCATTCGCAAAAATTCATAGAGTCCGAAAGGAGTTATGATAGCTGTTTTCGGTATGTCGTCAGTAGCCCTAAGGATTTGGTTATACGCTTTAACCAAGTCGATTTTTGAAAATACAGTTGTACCTTTCAAGGTAGCTGTCAAATCGTGAATGTGAGGCAACGGGTAACGATCAAGAATGGTTTTTGCATTCGATCGCCGATAGTCACCAGTTGGACGCCAATCGTTGCTGTCCTTTTTAGGGACCATGTGCAACGGAGATGCATATGGGCTACTTGACGGTCGTATGATTCCTAAGTCCATCATGTGATCGAATTCGTTTTTCGCTAACCTTAGCTTTTCGGGAGCTAGTCGTCGTGCTTTAGAGAATACAGGGGGTCCTGTAGTCGTAATGTGATGTTCAACGTTGCTGGTTACACATGGTAGTTTCGGTTGAGTTTGGTGTATTCCAGGATACTTATCGAGTAGTGGTTGATAATGTGGGTCTATCGTATGCTTAACTATGACTGGGGATAATCTGCAAGCAGTAAAAGAAGTTACGCAAACGGATAATTTAGTGTTTCCGTCTACTAGTCTCCGTTTGCGAGTATCGATGATTAGATTATGATTTTATAGGTTTTGTAGAAGGTCCATACCAATGATTGGCATAGAAACATCTGCAACAACGAAGACCCAGTGAATGGGTTTGCAAAAACTCACGTTAATGTAAACGTACCTTTTGCCATACGTAGCGATAGGTTTTCCGTTTGCCGCCTGTAAGTTTGAAGCCGATTCGTGAAGCCGGTCGTCGGGATTCACTGGGAGAACGCTAACTTTTGCGCCAGTGCCCACGAGGTAGCGAACTCTCGTTGTCACATCTGTGACGTACAACAGACGGCTATGTTCGCCGGCTACGGTTGCCGTTAGCGCGAGTCGGTTCGGAAGTTTCCCGAGTTGTTTTTCTTGTCGGTGGGTTTTGTGTTGGGAAATTGCAGGGTTTTCTGCGATTTCTGGAAGACTTCCCATACTGGTTATGATACCAGCACCAGTTGGGATTATCCGTCTCTCGTGATCTAGAGACAGATCGCTTACGTGAAGTGCTTCTACGTGAGGTGTGTGATCGCTTACGGTCGTTACGAAAATTAAGATAACGTGTAAGTGTATGACATAACTCGGTTATGTCATTCTGAGTCGTTTGAGGCTTTTCTTTGACGGGAAGAACCTCAGTAGGAGAAGATTTCTCAATTTCTAAGATACGATTGTCAGATGCAGCCAGCTCGTCTATGGCGTTGTTCTGAAACGAAACCAGAACCGCTTGCACCTGTTGGGGAGGTTTGGACAAGAAAAGTTGTTTGAATAGGCCTTCGTCGAAAGTTCTTAGGCCTATAACCTCTCTCATCCTTTGCAACATGTCCGTCGCAGAGCCGTGTTGCAGGTCTATGTTAACAAAGAGTTGGTCTAACCTTTGTCGATCGGTTAGGTCTCCTCGTTTAAGAATGGAACGCTTTAAGGTTTTGTACAGTTCAGAAACATCACTAGTAAACATACTAGGTGTTACGTACCTGTTGAATTCGCGCGGTAGTGCCTTGACTACTGCGAGGAAGTGTGGAGGTGTGTCGTTCACGCCGTGCTCGTGGAAGTAGGCTTCTGCGTAACAGAACCAGGCTTCGATATTGTCGGGCCAGAAGGTCATGAGTTGGAACGAGGGTGGGAACATGGTCTTAATCTTAAATGCCTTAGGAGTCTGTTCGGTCATAGGGGGAATATCAAGTACGAGAATACGAGGGAAAAATATATAGATATCCTAAAACACGGGGACAAAAATATCACAATGTATAAAAAAAATAAAAAAATAGGGCAATAATATATAAAAATCCCAAAAAGGAACAGACTCACAGTTGCAATTAGGTGTATCAGATCACGTTAGGCTCACCAATGAAGATGGCACAGGTATTCAGTGTTTGACAACGCTTTTACCCACCAAGAGAAATCAAAAGACAGAATCGAGGAGATCAGAAGTTGTATTTGACGACTGCCAATATATCGGAATTGTCTGATCTAGTCTGGCTAGCGATTGCAGTAGATGTTGAGCACGGCGTTTCCACACGTGATCTGATGCGGATGCATGACCGAGCGCCTTCAGCTAGGTGGTCCCATTAAAACTAATGTGGTCAGCATCCGATCTCGAAAACTTACAGAGCTATTTATTTTGGGGATTTATTTACCGCTGCAGCATTATCTGTAACCATAAGAGGGGATATTTTTCTTTTGCATTATATCACCAAAAAACCCAGAAAATACACACAAAAATGCTGGATATGGACCAATACAAACCCGCGGCCCTCCAATGAGTAGTTATTGTGGACTTAGATGAATTAGCTAGATAGGCTCGAGGTTGGGGCTTAGATGTTAATTCTAGGAAGAGTATGTTCATGCACATCGGACACGGTAATAGTTGTAATTATACTATTAATGGTACATCTCTTTCAGGCGTTTAAGAACATAAAGACTTAGGAGTAATGATGAGTCATGACTTGAAGACAACTACGCATCGCAACGCAGCCGCTGTCAAAGGTTTTCGTGCGTTATGGTCACTTCACCGAGCATTCAAATGCATTGACGAGGAAATGTTTCAAATTTTATATCCCACCTGTGTAAGAGCACACGTAGAGTACTGTATTCAAGCAGCTTTCTCATTTCTGATAAAGGGCACTAACTCATTTCAACGTGTTCAGAGTTTGGGAACGAAATTAGTGAAGGGTCTTTCTAAACTGCCTTACGATGGGTGCTTAATCCTTTTTCCCTTGTGGTAACGTCGGACGCAGAGTGACCTTATACTGGCATTTCGTATCTTTAATTATGATTTAGGTGTTAATGTGTCTTATATTTTTGCTCCCTCCAGCAATAATAATCTACGGGGTCATAGCAAAAACGTTCACAAACGGCGATCCCGTTTTACTCATGAAGTAGTCAATGACTGGAACGCTCTACCAGAACAAGTGGTATCAGCCCCATAAGTGAATATTTTCAAGGAGAAGCTGGAACTTCACCGGAAGGCAACCTGTCAGGATGAACACAAGTTTACCAACCTACTATCCTCATTACTGAAAACTGAACGCTTTATCTACGCTACTATCAGTATCCTTGAGAGTGTGTGATGCTCAAGTTTGGTCCCATTAAGTATGAATGGGAAACGTATGGACAGTATATGGTCAATCTCAACTGAATAGTTGTCCATTGTTTTCAGTTCGCGACGCCAGCCGATTACATCCACTCATGTGGAGATACGCTTTGCACTTACAATAACCCAAGCAACCAACAAATATCCCCCGAATACACAAAGTATGGGGGAAAAATCGACATTTCCCCTAAATAACCGACGTGAAGGCGAGGAAGCGACATTTCCCCTTCATTTACGCTTTCGTCCGCTTTATTTCCCCTTTATTTCCCACTTATTGGTTGCTTGGGTAATTCACCCCGTCTCGCATTTTACCGATTACCACTATTATTACTGCTGGTGAAACTTTAAATCACCTTATCTTGTTTAGTAGTTCACCCGCATTTCTTACATTTCCGACTACTTAATTATTTCCTCCTTAGTTTTAAGTCATTAAACTAGTATTTTTTTGGTTCCTGTCGTCTGGTTTACTTTGATCTTTAATCCCAAGGTCATAATACAGCCAAATTGGCAATTGCCTTATAACGGAATAGCTGACGGCACTAGGATCCTCACTCTCTTAGGACAAAGGCATTGTGCTACATAAATATATTCCCTGTTACTGATTTTTACTTGAATTCAAAATATTTGCAAATGTCACTAATCTTTTGGTTGTAGGGGGGCCTTTATCCACGAATAGATTTGCTAATCTGTTAGGAATTTCAGTCTACTTGTACCACTAACGCACACATCTTTAATAATGGCTTTACAGTTATATCCAACCAAATTTTGCTCAGATGCATTGCGCAGATTTCTCTCAACTTCTCATGTTAGGAACAAAAAAGAAGGTTAGTTATTCGAAAGCTGCTTATCCTGTAACCATTTAGTAAAGTATACGATTAATAAAAATGTGACGACGGTATGTTACCATGCTTTTTGTAACTGTATACTGGTAAACAGGTTGAAGGAGTACTTGTCCCGTCAGAACGTGAAGGCAAAGTTGTATGCTTGGATGGTTTTGGTGACCCTCGAGATAGAGATCCAATTAGTCGGTTGGGTTTAAATATTCGTCACACAGTAAGCTACTATCACGTCACCTGATTTTCTTTGCAGGATGTCCGAATATTATCACAGTTTCTAAGACCTGATGGAACTGTTATTCCTAGACGTATTTCAGGTATAAGCTGTCGGTCGCAAATCCATTTGGAACTAATGATTGAACGCGCAAGGAAGGCTGGTAAGTTAATTTAAACTTATTGATAGCTTAAGATACTCAATTCTAATGCTGGTAACTTAAGTAGTGAAAGATTATCCTTTCATATGTGTTCATGAAAATATAATACTATGAAACATTCCAGTGCATACAATGTTACCTCAGTGATCATTTTATTTGGCTTTCAATCACGATACAGGATCAAATCTAAAATAGTATGAACAATCCGGTAATATCGATAACTCTTACACTAACATTGTAGCTTGAATTATAGTAATTACATTTATAAGTGGTAAATCCTTTTCTCTTTCCTGGAGTATTAGTGTAACATCGCAATGGTTCTCAATCATTAAACCTCAAAGAAGTGCAACTATAACGTAAATGTATTTCACAAAACAGATAGTCGGCTTTTTTTTCGCCAGCTAGGTTCATTCTTTTGAGATTAGTCTATTTGTTTGAACACGTACAAGGAGGTACCAAATATATATGCGCCACACAAACCAAATGATTTGTGTGAGGGCTAGGATACTCTTCGGGTGCCCAAACTGAAGCAGGTCGTTTTCTTAGGGAACTACTCCTTGATCCTTCGACCTACGGGTTTAATCCACAAGGCAGTAGAGCAACGCTTGGAGATGCAGCCCCATGGTAGACGGTGACCAACAATCGGTTCATGCGCCACTTGTTTCCGCAGGATCCCGGAGCCCATGAGCGATATTGATTTGGAATCAGGGTTGTCCAACTCCTCTTGGTGGGTCCTCCGTGTCCAACAGCCCAGTTAAAGGGCCGGACATTTGCTTTTCGTCCTCTCAATTTCGTAAACAACAGTAATGCCGCGAGAAGGCAGTGAATAGAACTTCCTTGGCAGTGGCTGTATACGCGTAGCCATTTGAGAGCATTTAGAGAAAGAGAACAGACTTTTACCGACCTTGGTTGAATCATTTAGGGACCGGCTACTGCACAGAATTCACAAACTTATTTCTTATTTACACTAAGTATTACATAGTGATCGAATTAAAGTAATATTTTGTTATTTCATTTGGGATTTGTTTCTTACCAACTATAGTTTCAGAATAGACTGTTAAAAATTCCAAATCTACAAAGTAAGATTATTTTGGGCTAATAAAAGGATTCACAGATATTACGTAGTACTGTTGTAGACTACCAAGTAGCTAAATAGGATTTCAGCTTGTTAAAGTATTATTTATTTTATTATAAGAAATATTGCTTTCTAAAAATTCTTGACCTCGTTTAGGCTTACTACCTGTACAAATCAAACCAAATGGAAGTCACGTGTATGAAAGACGTGGCCCTCATCGATTCAATGTGTACTATGATAGTGAGATGATAGGTCTTCCGAGAGCCTCAAAAAAAGCAATTAAGTATATCCCTCCTGAGTAATGTAATGAAAATTTACTTGCATTAAAGTGTTTTTAAATTTTTTTCTTCTGGTTTTACAAAGTACTTGTTTTCAGAAGATGTTATCGTAATTCAGTGTGTGTGCCAGATTTGTCTGGATTTTCCTCCCGGTTACTTCACTCTATAGATATTTTTTCAAGGAAGTCTTTCATTGTCTCTAGTCTTTGAGATTCACTTTATATAACTAATTCACTAGCCTTTCAGTCCACCTGTAACTCATTAGTGTAGAGACTTAACTTTTGAAGAGATCTCTATAAGTTTAGATTCCGCTATAAGCATTGGTGTTTTGCCAATTTTCGATAATGCAATGAGAAGACGGAGGTTATCTTAATTATGTGACATATTTCAAACAATGTGATCACATATATACACGTTAAGACATTTTTGTATGAAAACTAAAAAGTCAGCTAGACAGATTTTTGTATACATTATTTTTCTTTGTTACGGCTTATCTTTAATGCGTCGTGTGAGCCGTCATAGGACGTACCGTTTATAGTCCAGTAAACAAAACCTACACATAATTACTATGTACGTTTCCTCATTGTTCTTCATTATCATATGTTGTCGATAATGTAAACAGTCGTATATCGTAGGCTCTCACTATCTTGTAGCAATATTTAGATATTTAATTACTATTTTAATCTCTGTAGAACTGTTTATTAAACTATCTTGGCTATCGTACTCATAAATATGATTGATTATTGAAGTCATTGACCGTTCACTGTAGCTTTATGGCTGCGATCTTTGAAATTTTAAAAATCAATTAAAAAGCCAGTGCGGAATTTATCAATAACACAAATACAATAATTCAACTTTTGGTTAACACCTTATTAAGTTATTCACTTTGTTACCCAACTATTTCATTATTGGACCGTTTAACACCTTTTCAATATTCCCTTCCCTCATTTTGATAGGTACATTACTCAGAGTGTTTTGTTAGGGATTTTTGACGCATATATATATATATATATATATATATATATATATATATATATATATGACAGCACAAAATTGTAATTTCTTGGTCGATTTCTTACATCTTCCATAAATAATAAACCACGAAAAAAACGAGTAAGGAGTAAAAGTTACGTTTAAATTACAAAGTAAATACTCTTGTCCAAAGTTTAGGCGACTAAGTTTTTGTCAGAAATAAGATCACTTCGAAATAAACCTAATGTTTACATTGTAAACCGATCAACTTGTGGAAATATGTTTTACTTCTCAATATAAGCACATACAAATAGGATTAATTTATAATATTTATAAGAATGTGCATAATACTGATGAGGTGATAACGTAGGTTTCAGGCTTTAGAGTACACAAAATATATAAATAACTTCATAATATAAAGCCCTGTCTTCACTTTACCTATCTAGTAAGTACGCATAAGATATATACGATTCAAACAACTGTCTTGTGTATTTTAACAGAACAAGAACAACAAAGTTTTCAGAATAAAACGAGCTCATTTTATTTAATGAATATAAACAGCCCAAAATTACAAGTAGTATAGTTATAAACAAAAATATAATATACTTTGGTGAGTGAAGTTTAGATGGATCGTTCAAAATAGGAAAGTTTAAGAGTATAGAAGATAAGATTACGGTTAGAAATAATCATGTGAAGTAGTTGCATATTAGTTGAGGCGTCCAACTTTTAGTCTAACCTTTCCACAACTATTTCGGTTTGGGCAACCAAGTACCATCATTAGCCCTTACATTTAGAATACAACTCATTCTCAACCACCTGGTAAACGGGTTCATTAAATTTAAAATAGTAATAAAAAAAAGGATTTCGTGAGAATAACAATAATGAGTGATTGTGAAACTAATCAACATAGTTGGAACCAAAATCAAATTAATATGTCAGCATCAATAAGATTATGCAAGAGATAAATAGGTCATTTTGTTACAATCTGTTACGATGTCAGGGAGCCTTATCACGCTTTTCTTCTCTATAAATAGGTCAGACCTGAAGCATTTTATAGTATCCATCTACAAAACGGAGTTAAATTAATGTTGGTTGGTTGTTAATTATTACGAAAACAAGATTAACATCGATTTTATCCACTATCGATCAATTGCCTGGCAATTGAATTTGGGTAGACTTTACTGTCTCCAGGACATAGAATCCTAGTAACCGGTTAGAAAAACGTGATAAGATCTATTTTCTTCATCCTTATATACTTGCTACGACAGATACAACTAAAACTGTAACATGAAATTCGGAACACAACATATTGTTCCAGGTATATACGTGTTACTTTTATTTTTTGTGATGATATAAAAACTTGCTTCTCGTTTGTTCCCTTACTTCAATAATCTTATACAGTTTTCGATGGAACGTGAACGAGATAATCTACTCAGTGATTTACAGTAAATGGCAACTATAAATTTATTGGACTATAGTTTACTGCTTTCTAAAGTCTTTTTCTGTGCTCTCGAAAAATTTTATATAATTTCATATAATCCTCTTAGTATTTATGTACTACGTATTTTATTAATGAAGCATAGTGTCTGGTGCATTTATCATCTAATTGTCCATCAGTGTATGTTATCACTATATATTATGTGAAATTCTCGTATATATTCACTTCTAGATCGGGTTGTTCTTGAATTGCGAACAAATAACTAATAGATTGTTCGTTGCTTTATAAATTAAATGTGCATTCCAGTGACTGAGTGTGAATCGCCTGATAGTCGTACGTATTTTAGGTTGTAAGTCGTTCCGTATTTTCTCCCTTTTGAGTAGAATAAGGTAGGTTATATGTTAAACAGTGTAAGAGTAGTGATGGTCAGTTTTTAGTAAATGCAACCTGGTGACAATTGGAAGCAGTATAGACTAATAACATACATATAGTCATAGGGATTCTGTTAGTCTAAACGTTAAGCGGGTTTACTGCGCAGCATTTTCCGTCCTACTTTATGGAAGTGAAACAGGCGGAAGAGTAGAGGATATGTAGGTACTGTATTCGTCATAGGTTCTTCGAAATTGCTCGTATATCATGGGACCATCGAGTAAGTAACACAGTTGTTAGGAAACGGGTACTAGGTAAGGATGGCAAATCAATTGATGACGTAGTGAAACTTCATCAGTTGAGATGGCTGGGACACGTGTTACGTATGCCCAACGACCGACTGCCTCGACGTGCTATGTTCAGTGGTATAGGAGTGGTTGGAAGAAAGCTAGGGGCAGCCAGACCAAAACATGGCCAAGCAACCGATGGTTAGAGACCCTGAATGACATGGCTCAAAATCGTTTGCAATGGCGCAGGTGCATCCACTCTCTGTGTTCTCCCAAACTCTAATCTTCTGAATTCTTCATGTCCCTTTTTCCCTCTTTCCAAATTTCTTTCACTGGATTATACTCTTTAAATAACATCTCCAAACCCTAATCTTCCCGATTACTGCTTATACTCTTGCTACCTCTACCACTACGGGATTTGAATCGACCACTGCATCTCTGTGCTAATGTGGTGTGGCAACTCGATTACAGTCTAAACGTTAATGTTTCGAATTTTGACTTACGTTACCGAAATATACCTAGTATATGAATTAATTTTTATATTTTCACAGCTGCTTACAGCAGTATTCGTATTAAGGAGTAACATTAGGATATAATATAATAGAGTAGTAGACACTAATAATTTACAGAATTAGGAAAACAGAGATTATAAGTATTAACTTTGCGTGCTAATAAATAAATTGAAGTCGTTTGAAGATGGAATTTAAAAGTAGGAGGGTGAGATAGTAATTATAATAAGTGTGGGGACTGATAAGATTAATTATTAAAGAGTTTATATAAGTTTAAAGAATTAGGTAAGTAAAAAGCAGATGAATGAAGGGATAATTTTAGCGTACATGAACTCATTAGTGTACCCGAGGTACAGAACGAAGTAAACATAATGATAATAGAGTAATGACTAATAAAAATTATTATAGGAGTTGTGGTGGAGATGGTAAGATTTTCATAGCTTGACTTACAAACTGATCTTAGCTAAACCACCATTAGAAAAATAGGAGGCACTGGACAACTGTTTCGTTTTAGTATAGAACATAGACACTGCCGGATGCCAGATCAGTGGTCTGGAGGTTAGGTGTTCGCGCGCGCTAAACCCTGCGTTCTGGGTTTGATCCCCCGATGCGGGTTGTAGGTGCACTTTTCTGAGGACAAAATGGCTTCCCAGTGCTTCGGAGGTTTACACATGTCTACCTAAGATTGGTCCTTAACCTGACTGGAATTCATATTACTTGAAGATTTTAATCAAATTACGAATGAGTCAAGATAATGATTGTTATTGTCTGTTAATAATCACATGATATGATCGCCAATCGGAACACCAAATTATTGACCAGACCAATGATGCACATATCAACACGAGCAGCCTAGAGTTAACTCTGA